TCATGTGTTTCCTGGCCAAGTGTCTGCTATAATTATGTGATGTCCCTTAATAATGTCTCAGATAAAAAATTCAGAGAACCATAATAAAAAATCGGAGTGTTCGCAGGTGGGTTACTGTGGTGTCACAGAGATCTGTATTACCAGCAAGTCGCTCCTTATGAGAAATACGTTTATCTGTCTTCCTGGTCTGCCATTGCTGCTTTTAACCATTTGGTGCTCTGTACTGTGTGTCAATGGCAGGGCATCTCAGACATCCTGCATGTTTTCCCTGCTCAGTTGCCTTGGGTCAGGCTGCTCAACTGATGGAGCTGTCTAGGTGGTGGCTAACATTGCTGCCACTGTTAGGAGCACACAGGCACATCACTGCCATGCTTAACTAACACAGGGACCTTACAAAGACCCTGACGAGTGCTAATGCAGCCAGACCTGGTCATCCATAGCAGTTGGGTTAAGTGTAAGATAATGTGACCTACTTATTTTGTATGAATAACTATTTTGGAGTATTTAAATTTTACTATGTGGGTAGTTTTATGAATGATTTTAATTGTCTGTCTTGATAAGTGGAGTAGAAGAGAGTGAAAGTGGAGGACCAGAGAGTGGGGTGGATATGATTAGATATGTTGTGAATGTGTGTGGGAATGCTACAGTGAAACCCACTATGTATAGATAATTAATCATACATCACAAACATTAAAAAAAACGAAAATGCAAGATAATTTTTCTGTTGATCTAGGCAAGGCTGTTTGTGCATGTTTTAATAGGTTTGTTTTTGCAGTTACTTTCTATGACGTGTATCTGGTCCTGCAAGCGTTTATACTGACTACTGCAGTCTTTCTCGGTTTGACTGCCTACACTCTACAATCAAAGAGAGATTTCACCAAATTCGGAGCGGGGTAAGTACTAAGTCTTGGGACACACGCACACACACACACATGCACACACACACACATGCACACACACATGCACACTCGCACACTCGCATCCACACGCACACTATATTACAAGTAGTCAGGAAATGCTGTTGTATTGGTGTCTATTTAAGATGGAGGCTAATACAAAGCCGTCTCTGAGTGCTGGGACTAGGTCCTTCTCCCCAGGAGCATTCACGGAGAAGGGCTGCCACTTTTAGTCATTTTCTTCTTTTATCTGGTGAAAGGAAGGCAATTGTGTCTATTCTCCTCTGTGTCCCCCAAAGGAGAGCGCTTTAGAGAGCTGAGACTTGTGTGCACTGGGAGCAGGGCTGGGTTCAACCTTGGTTCTAATCTCATTTCTGTTGCTCTAATGAAATGTTTATGAGTCCTTACATTTTAGTTATTCTGTGGGAAAACTCTGGAGTTATTTCTTCATAAAATAATATGAAAAAATAATGAAGAATGGGCTTGAAAAGTGTTTGGGGGGCTTGAGAGATGGCTTACTGGTTAAGAACATTTGCTGTTCTTGCAGGGGACCTGGGTTCCGTTCCCAGCATCCTCATGATGACTCTCCATCATCCCCAATTCCATTTCCAAAGAACCTGGTACCTTCTTCTGACCTCGTCAGTTATCAGCAGGCCCATGGTACACATGCAGACATGCAGACAAAACACTCAGACACATAAATTTTTTTTTTTTTAATTTTAAAAAAGTGTTTTAGTGAGGAATATTGTAACCTGGTAGCCTTTGTTTTTCTACAGGCTGTTTGCTGGTTTGTGGATTTTGTGCTTGGCAGGATTTTTGAAGGTGAGTTGTTTTAGATTAGTTAACTCAAATATAACTCTGCCTATGTCATCATAAGTCACCTAAAGTCCCTGAGTGTCATTTATAGAGGACACTTAGTCATAATTATCTAGAGCATTTATATATAGAACATAGAAAAATTTCAGTGAAAATCACAGTTTTTATGTTAATCATTATCACTGATTGAGAAAAAGATGGACGCACAAACAAGAAAAATTGCACAGGAAAGGCCCTGTCTTAGAGCTGCCAACCTCTGAGTGCCTCAATTAACTCTGAAAACGATGGGGCCAGTGAGAGTAAAGGTGCTTGCCTCTAAGCCTGGGGCCTGAAGTCGATCCCTGAGCCACAGAGCACAAGGCCTCTTCTGATGTCCACATTCATGCTTGCTGCCATGGTGTGCATAGTCCCCGCCCCCAGAAAATGAGTCAATGTCACAAAAGGTTTAATTCTAAACAGCTCGCGTTTAGAATGTTACTATTCAAAGTCAAGCAGTGAACTTAACTGAAAGATAACTGCTTATCCACACATGCCTACTTCATGAAACAGGCAAATGTGAGTCTAGCTCTGCCGCCTTCTGCTTGCAGCATCTGTCTTCATACATCCGCGTTGTGTGTCCTTGTCACACATGCCACTGGCAGAAGAGTGTATTAAAAGTCACTGAAGGGATATAATGTGATTCCTGAGTATGAACATTTTCCTTACTCCCTGGCCCGCAGGTGTTTTTTTATAGTGAGACGGTGGAGCTGGTCTTGGCCTCTCTAGGCGCCCTCCTCTTCTGTGGATTCATCATCTATGACACACACTCGCTGATGCACCGTCTCTCTCCCGAGGAGTACGTGTTAGCTGCCATCAGTCTCTACATGGACATCATCAACCTCTTCCTGCACCTGCTGAAGTTTCTGGAAGCAGTTAATAAAAAGTAACTGAACAGTATTCAGAGGCAGTTTTATTATGAAAAAAGTTTGAATTATACTTAAATATTAAAAGCATTTGTGATCTTTATTGGCATTATGTATTCTTCTACACTTTAGAATCTTACTATTTGCCAGGCGGTGGTGGTGCACGCCTTTAATCCCAGCACTTAGGAGGCAAAGGCAGACGGATTTCTGAGTTTGAGGCCAGCCTAGTCTACAGAGTGAGTTCCAGGACAGCCAGGACTACACAGAGCAACTCTGTCTCGAAAAACCAAAGAAAAAACAATTCTATAAAGGGAAACGTTAAAAAAAAAATAAAAGAATCTTACTATTCTGTTTTCCCTCATTTCCAAATCCTTGACTTAAAGTCTCAGGCAAGAGTTATTAAAATGTTTTTTCCTTTTTCATCAATTGAGGCAGGGTCTCTGTGTAGTCCAATATGACCTCTAACTCAGGATCTTACTATGTCAGCTTCCTATGTTCTGGGAATACAGGCATGTTCCACCTGCCTGGCTTATTTTATTATTTTTTATAAGTGTTTTGCATGCACATATGTATATGTAGCATGTGTATGTCTGGTGTCTGCAGAGGCCAGAAGCAGGTGTTGTATCACCTGGCGCTGGAGTTACAGGCAGTCGTAACATGGAAACTGGACTGGAGTTCTCTAAAAGACTAGCAAGTGCCCCTCAGAATCATTGAGCCATTTGCCAGCTCACTGTTCTCCTCTAATAATGCCGAGTTTATAAATTGAGAATCACTGGTGTAAAATATATTTGATAAAAATGAATGATGTTTATATTTACTGGTGACAAATTTCATATGGTCAGCTTTTTTAAGAGCTTTGTCATGCCAAATTATGGAATGTATCTTAATACATAATTTTGGTTGATTTCGTTTTCCAAATTTCCATTCAAAAGCCACAGCCTTTTGGTATATGAAACAAGAAGCTGTCAATTTAGAGCATCTGTAAGGTTGATTTTTAAAACCCAGTGCATGCTTGTTTCCTTTTGTTTTAATGCCACGGGTGTTTTGCCTGTGGTAAAATTTTCAGAACTTGCTTTACTATATGGATGGTTTCTTCAAGAAGACACAGTTCTCCTGGCTGTCAAACAGGAAGTTTATAAGACATTATTAAAGATAACTCTTGGGGCTGGAGACATGGTTAAGAGCACCTGTTGCTCTTGCAGAAGACCTGGGTTCAGTTCTGTGAAGGTTTGGGTATGCTTGACTCATGGGAAGTGGCACTATCGGGAGGTGCGGCCTTATTGGAATAGGTGTCACTTTATTGGATGAAGTGTATCACTGTGTAAGATGGCTTTGAGGTCTCCTAGTGCTCAAGCTCCACCCAGTTCAGAAGAGAACCTCCTGGCTGCCTTCAGATCTAGGCTTCTCCAGCATCATGTCTGCCTGCTTTTTGCCATGCTTCCTGCCATGATGATAATGGACTGAACCTCTGAAACTAAGCCAGTCCCAAGTAAATGTTTTCCTTTATAAAAGTTGCTTCAGTCATGGTGTCTTCACAGTAACAGAAACCCTAACTAAAACTGATTCCCAGCAACCCCGGGGTAACTCACAACCAACTGTAAATCCAGTTCAAGGGATGAGATAGCCTCTTCTGGCCTCCTTTGGTACCAGGCACACATGCTGCACATACATATTTGTATCTGCTGAAAACACTGCTTCCAGGTAAGACTGAGTAGTTAACATTTGTTGCCTAATAACCTGTTAGAGACCAGTGAATGAGGTACTATCTAGGCTCTAAGACACTATTCACCCACGTTTTTCACAAATGTTAAAGAGACTTGCGTATCCTCCATAGCCTGTGCAATATTAGAAACACATGCAAAACCAAACTTTTTTTGTAACCTCAGTCACTCTAGGTATGTAATAGTTTGGACAGAGCAACATTGGTTGAAATAGCTTACTTTACCCTTTAAGGAAAGAATATTTTCTGCGTTGGATAACACTTTGAAATATAATTGGCATGCGGTCGATTTGACATATTTAATTTGTACAATTTGATATATTCTCACATCCGCGTACCTTCTAGGATCCTCAACAGAAATGGGAAACTTTCTAGGCTGCAATTTAAAAAACTCAAAGGACCACAGGATGTTCAGAACTGAGCAATCAATCTCTTGGGTATCCTCTATCGGTGAGGCTGCCCCAGGCAGGGCCCCCGGCCAGGCTTGTCCCATCCAAGGCTTTGAGATGGCTCGACTTATAATTTTTCACTTCCGACAGGAAATTCCTTCTTTTTCTCCAAACACAGTGTCTTCTGTAACGGATCACTAAAGGGATCACAGAGAGAGCCTGTCGGACCTTGGACCACGCCTCTCAGGAATCCCGGCATGCTGTGCGCCGGCCCTGGCCGGAAGCCGGAAGTGTCGGCGCTTCCGGTTGGCTTCCTACGCGTGGTGTACGATCGTGTTTCTCAGGTGTGTCGCGTGGGCTTTGGATTCGGATCTGCGGCGTGAGGGACTGGCTCGGACCCTGTCTCCGCGGCGAACCCTGGGTGCATCCTCGCGGTGCGGGGCTCGGGAGGGCGAGGCTTGGGATGTTCATGCCGGCGCCGGGCTCCCCCGGTGCTGTGGCGAGCGGCTGTCAGGCAGATTTCGACCCGCAGGGTGGGTGACCGCAACCCTCCACGCGGAGTTTGGGTCGTTTTAGACAACTGGTGATTACTGACGTTTAGGGAATACTCACCTAGCCACCCCACGGTTCACATAGCCCTGTCCCTTTGTGCAAAGCGGTGGCCCCGAGGGATCCGGCGGCCCCGCAGTCCGCAGAGGGTGACGGTAGCTTCGGGTTGAAAGAGTACTTAGTAGAAAGTCTGAGGAGAAGAGCAAGCCTTGAGGAGTGCGATTTCCAGACGTAGAACTTTATGCAGGCGTGACTGGAGCTTGCGAGTGGGACTAGAGAGGAAGGGGAGAGTTGAGGCCGGAGAGTAGCGGAATGAACTTCGATGCCTGGATACACGAGAGGAGAAGTCATTAAAGAAGCCTTCAAAAGGCAGAGAACTATGTTTTAAGCTTTTAAAAGTTCACACTAAACATTTGGTGAAGGATGCAGGTGAAGGGAGAAAAGCAGGAGGACAGAGCTGTTAGCTTTCTGTATCTAGTGAGCAGCTTTGAGAAGGACTCGAATTATAATTTGTCCCTGACTTAGAGAGGCCTGACGTCTCTGTACTTAACTGTTGCGTGCTCTGCGTAGATCCTCACATGAGCTGAGCATGAAGGCATCGCACAGCTTTTCTGACGTCCCAGTTCTGGAGAGATAGCTGCCCTTCGTTCCCTCGATAGTCAGGGGCGTCAACAGTAAACGTTCTTCTGTTTGTGTGTCTGTTAACTGCCAGGTGAAGCATGGCCAAAAGCTTGCGGAGTAAGTGGAAAAGGAAGATGCGGGCCGAGAAGAGGAAGAAGAACGCACCCAGGGAGCTCAACAGGCTTAAAAGCATTCTCCGAGTTGACGGTGATGCTCTGATGAAAGATGTCGAAGAGATAGCCACTGTGGTGGCACCCAAACATTGCCAGGAGAGGATGGAGTGTGAGAAAGTGCAGTGTGACGGGGGTGACGAAAAGGGTGAGCTGCTGACCTGATTTTTTTTCTTTAAATCAACTTTTCTTTTAGGGTCCCTTTTTTCAAAGCTGTCTTCTACCTGTTTCTACTTGTTCCTAATGTCAAGTCCAAAAGAAACTGGAGACACCTGGCTAGCAGTGGTGCCTGTTAGATACCAAAGTACTTGCTGGGACCCTGGCTCCTCACAGCTCTGCCCCTCCCCTCCCCAAACAGCTCCACTTCACATGCCTTCCTCTCCCAGGTCCTCACTCCCATATAACTGCCTTCTCTCTCTTGGCTCTCGGCTCCTCTCGTTCCTCTCGGTCTCCTTTACGTCCTCTATTCCTCTCTTGCCTCCCCCAACCCTGTCCCCTTTCTCTCCTCTCATGGCCTGGTTCAGTCTACTGGGCGTGTTTAGTCTCCTGCTTTCTCTCTTGCTCTGGACTCTTCTAGATCCCAATCTTCCAAAGAGGAAAGCCTCCTTTTCGGTTCCTGTCAGTCTGCTTTGATTCACTGTCCTTGAGAAGTTTGACACTTGAACTTGCTGCGTCCCCTTCAGCACACACATGCCACCTCTGCTCGGCAACTGTTTTCTAGGTGTTTTCATTTTAAATGGCTTTGACTATCTCAGTCTGTACAGCAGTGACCTTGAAATACAATCATGGTGCTCTGCTGCCATCACCTCTGGATCCAAAGCATTGCCACCCCTCTGAAAGGAAACACTGCCGGCATCTAGTAGTTTCTCTCCCTCACCCTCCAACCCTGAGACCGACAGCTGCTAACACAGTTGGTCTTCTGTAGCTTACTGTCCCATTCTGAATTTCATGTTTTAGCGGATATCTACTTCCCTTCTAAAGACAATACTGGTTTGTCGTATATACCACATTTAATTTCCCTGTAGTTGTTATCTGGGTTGCTTTCATGGTTCTGTGGTCTGGTAAATCTTAGTGTCCACGGTTTTTTAATACCATTTACAGTGCTTTGGAGTATGAACTTAGAAATGGAACGTGACTCATACCGTAATTCTATGCTCTTTTCTGCACCAGGCAAAACATTTTGTATTCTACCTAGCACTGCATGGGCTTGCTGTCCAGGGTTTTGGGGGGTGGGGGAGGTGTTGTTGTTGTTGTTGCTGCTGTTTTTCTTTTTCTTTTTTTTCTTTTTTTTTTTTTTTTTTTGAGACAGGGTTTTTCTGTGTAGTCCTGGCTGTCCTGGAACTCACTCTGTAGACCAGGTTGGCCTCGAACTCAGAAATCTGCCTGCCTCTGCCTCCCAAGTGCTGGGATTAAAGGCGTGCGCCACCACCGCCCAGCACTGCTGTTTTTTACTGACATCATATGTCTGAAATATTTCACTGCAGTTTAACTGCCTGTTTTAAGTTTTGGTTGTTTCTGTCTTGTGTGGATTCTAAATATTCCTTATAAATTCTGGGCATCTTTGAGTCTCTTGGGATGTTCCTTTCCGTCTGGCTTTTGTGTCCCCTAATTTTTTTAGTTTTATCTTGTAGGATCTTAGTATACTGTTCTATTTTTTTCCATTCCAAAACTTTTATTTTTAACTTTGACTACTCCATTTAATAGCTTCCTGCTCTTAGTCGGTATATATTGTGTCTCCTTGGGGTATTGTTTGCTTCTGACATTTGGTCAGATATTTCTGCATTGTTTGTTTTCTGTTGAGCTCTGCCCACTTGCTCTCCCCCATGTTCCCTTCACACTGTCTAGCCCTTTTCTCAAACACCTGGTGCGTCATCGTTGATGGCAAGCAAGGCACTGAGACGGAAACGGGGGGGGGGGGGGGCGTGGGGGGGGGGAGCAGGATGATGGAGCAGCAGCACGGAGGCGTGTGGGATAATTGGAGTACTTCTGGCTTTTTTTTTTTCCTTTTTTTGTGGGGTGGTGGTATTTCCTTTTAGAATCTGTGCCTCTTCATTTTTCCTTAGAGAAGCACCCTCTCACTTTCTGCCTGGAGAACACATTAGTGCCCTCACCGGGAATAGTTCAGGAGCTAAGTGGGATAGAAATGCAGATGAGGGGAGTCCTCCAGTCTAGTCTGTCAGTCAAGCTTGCTCCTCCTACTCTAAGTAAGTTCTTCCTCATGTCCCCAGTGCAGCTGCCTACATACTTTCTTGGGCCAAGAATGCAGCTGTCCCCTTTCTTTCTCTGTCCCCTGTGTCTACACCAAAGCATTACTTATTAGACCAAAACTGCGTGGCCAGAAGTTGTTGCCCGTCCCTTGAGTCCAGCCTTTCTACTTCCCTCTCTGTGCTTCCATTTAAAATGTAAACCAGACTTGCTCACTTCCTTACTTAAAATGTTAATTCTCAGGACAGAAGAGGTGGCTAGCACTCGGAGCTCCTGCAGAGTCCGTTTCTAGCTCCTGTGTCGGGTGGTTCACAGCCAACTGGAACATCAGCTCCAGAGACCTGGCTGCACGCTGTCCTTCCTCCATGAGCACACACGCACACACATGCATGTAGGAGGAGCTAAGGTGGGAGGAGTAAGCAGAGGAAGAGGAGGAGTTGGGAGAGGAAGAGAAAAAAGGAAGAGGAGGAGCTAGAAAGAGCAGAGATGTAGGAGGATGGAGAACCACACAGGTATGGAGAGCACTCCTGGGGAACAGCTTATAAACTTATAATTAGGTTAGCTAATTGGGGTACAACTCTCTTTGTATGGGCATCTTGTTATTAATCATTATCAAACATATAAAGCCTTTGATTAATCTATAAGAATTAGAGTCTCATTCTCTTACTGGGCCCGCATGGATGGCAGAATGGTCTGGGCAATGCCCTGCCTTGCGGAGACAGCATGGAAGATTGGCAGAGCCATCTCCCACGCTGGCATCTAGTGGGTGGCAGGGCTGGTGTTTCTGGCAGGCCGGTTCTAGCTGCAGCGCACATGGCCTCAGGCCGAGAAACATGGCAGCTGGGCTAGGCAGAGCTGCTGCAGCTTAGATAGTCGGATGAACCAGAGGCCGATTTTAATTAATTACAACAACACATGCATGCACAAATAGATTTAGGAACATGCAGCAGCAACATGTGTGGCTTATGTCTGACTTTGCTGTAAGGAGTGGAGGGCTTTTATAAAGTGGTTTCCTTGTTTTCATTTTAGACTCCACATGGTTCTGATGCTCCTGAAATCGCGTACTTTGAAGAGTTGTCATGTGTGAATGTAATAACTCCTCGTTTTATTCTTGTGTCTAATTTAGATGACATGAAAATGGAAACTGAAATTAAGAGAAACAGAAAGACTCTTCTAGACCAGCATGGCCAGTACCCAGTGTGGATGAACCAGAGGCAAAGAAAAAGACTGAAGGCCAAGAGAGAAAAGAAACGGGGGAAAAGCAAAGCAAAGGCTGCCAAGGGCCTGGCCTGGTAGACCCTTAAAGACTGGGAAGGGAGCCAGGCATGGTGGTGCACCCTTTTAATCCCAGCACTCAGGAGACAGAAAGAGGTGGATCTCTGTGAGTTCAAGGCCAGCCTGGTCTACAGAGCAATTCCAAGACACCCAGGGCTCTTTTACACAGAGAAAACCTGTCTCAAAAAAACAAGAAAACAGACAAAAAAAACAGAAGCTGTTTGTTTTCAGTTTGGATTTAGTTCTGTAATTCAAAACCAAAATAACTCATTTGTGTTGGGAACTTGAATAAAATATCTTTGGTGATGAAAGAACGTTATGCTGAAGTCCTGATTGGATGCTGCTTGATACTGAGTATTATCAGACACTCAGTCTTGTGAGCATTACTGTGTTGTAATTACTTGATCTTACAAAATGGCTGTTATACTCAGTGCCTCAGATGAAACATGCTTATATCAACAAAGTTTGAGCAGAAAGTTATTATATTGTTATATTCAAAAATAGGGTATCAAGGGCCTAAGAAAGACTCAAACTTCTTTTTCTTGTTGGGTGGCTCAAAACCAGGGATGCGCCCTCGTGTGTCCTTCCCTGACACCCGCATTCATATGCACAAGTTCTCCACCCAGTAATAACTAAAATCGTCTTTAAAAGGACATCCGTGGATCTTACAAGTAGTGCTTACCTGAAGTGTTTATTATTTTATAATTCACAATAAATGATATTTTACATGGAGATCTTGGAGTTTGACATTTTCTTTTGTATATCTTTAGGGTTTTCAGATCCTGAGGAGAGGACCATCGGCCTTTAGTTCAGGGGGACTGTTACAGATTGTGTAATTAAAACCAAGCGATCCTCAGTTTCAATACCATGTAGCTTAAAATAATGATAAAGCGTAACATTTCTCAGAGTGCATCATTCAGAATCAGTTTCTCTGGATGCTTGGTTAAAATAGGAATGTATCCATTTGGGAAATGCTGTGTATGTAAACACTGATGGGTATTAGCTAACTTAGTATTGTTTAATGAAGAGACCTGGAAATAGTCTGGCTTCCCTGACTCTTTACATACCCATGAGGTAAGTGTTAGTTAAATCTGCCTCTATACTTTTTTAATTTCAATTTTTAAAATTCAGCATTCTATCTGAAATGTTTTTCTAGTCAGATCCAACACCTTATTGTGCTGAGTAAAACCAGGGGCTTTGCAGATCCTAGGAATGTTGAGAACTGTGTATCTGCTCAGAAAACTATCCTCACGGGAAAGAAAAATGTATCAGAATAAGGTTACTTGGCCCTGAGACTGTAAAGTGCCAGGTACACTGCCAGGCATGCATGTGGCCAAATGCTATAGAAAGAAGCACAAAATGGTATCAGGAGAAGCTTAAAATTAGTGTAACAGTCCTTCCTCGGTTTACCCAGTAGCTCATTGAAAAACTAGTGAATATTTTAAAAATATGTTTTTCTGAAGGCAACAAGATAGAGCAGGTCATGTAGCTTAATAATGGAACACTAATCCCCCGAGTATACAGGCTCGGTTTGACCAGCATTGTTGGGTTTCTGAAGTTAGTTCACTTCCAGGGATCTGTATACATTGTTCCTGTCGCTCACCTCAGTTTGATACTAGTAATAGAAGCTCTGAGGCTCTCTGTGATGTTTGTTCACTCAAAGTTTCTTTTGACATTTGGTCACTCCAGTTTTAACTTAAAAGTGAGACTGGGAGATGGCCCCGTTGGTAAATGCTCACTGTGGAAGTGTGGAACCCAAGTTTGGATTCCCAGCACCCATGTTCAAGGGTTGGCCCTTGAGCATGTGCCTCCATACTAGGGAGACGAGGGTTCCATTAGTGAAGATCATTAGTGGCCAGGTGACTAAGGAGAAGGAATGTGACCTGCTGGCCAGCCAGTCTATGCACATGAATGAACTCAAGTTCAGGGAAAGACCCAAAGTTATCTGAAAGAGCAGTTGTGGAAAATGCCAGACCTCTGACCTCCACATACATGCCGCTCCCCGCTGCCCCAGTTTACCAGAATCCCTATGGGAAACACTTTGAGTCATGCTCTAGTAACTTCTGGAACAGTGACTGCCATGCATGGGTCTCAGCCCTGAGTTCTGGGGCAGTCCTACTGGCACAGTGTGTCTATCCATCTCAGGGTTTTGGCAGAAAATCTAGAGTGAGCTTTTGAAATCAGTTCAGGTTTTGTCACTTTTAAAGACTAATACCTGGGGAAGCACTTTAATCTTTGAGGTAAACAACTTCTCCAAATTTGTTTTTTAGTGCTTTCCAGAGAGTTGCTGTAAAACCACCAGGGGGCGCTCATGCCAAGCAGGAAGTCATTTGGAATCACACATTAGAAGCAGAATGGACTTATTTTTGTTCCCTTTAAAAATATTACATGAACATAAGACTAATACAAATATAAATTTAAAATTATTAACTTATCTAATTGATCCAGAAACCTATGGTTATGCTGCTAATATTATCTACACTGGAGGAAACTGAGGCACAGGAGTCAAGTAACCAAACCTAGGACAGCTGTATCAAAGCATGCATTCTCACAGAGCCCACAAAATTTCTCCAAGCCACAAGGTGTTCTTGGAGTAGACTTCTTGTCACTTGGTTTAATCCCTGATGGGACTGGGTAGAAGCAGGCTTAGGGTCAGGTAAAGAACTCGTGCTTAGTAACAAAATGACTTATAGAACCCTTCTCAAACCTCGGGGTGGAAACCAGACTGGATTTCTCGAAGCGACACTTCGTTAGAAACATGCCAACTGATCCAAACGCAGGTATAGGCCAAGGTTATTAGTGACCAGACAGCTAAGTGGAAGCCATGTGACACAGTTGAATCTCTAGGGTAGAACCCAGGAAGATTTTTGCTTATTGGTTTGTTTTTGAGACAGGGTCCTGGTTAGCCTGATACTGATAGAGCCAGCTGGCCTCAAACTTGCAGTAATGCCTCAGCCTCCCGAGTCCCAGAATTATAGGCATAGACCACCATGCCTGGAACGTTGGCTTTGACCACATTTTGTGTGATTGCTGTCACATTAGTGCAGAGCCACATTTTTCCCTATTAGCACACATACTACACAGTGATAGATGGTGTCTGTAAAGAAAATGAATGTTTTCAGATTTTATGTCCATGCATCTGGGATATGAATTTTAGGGGTCAGAGAAATATTTATAAATGATTTGATTGAATGACTTGAAGTGGCCTGGAGGAGACACAGGAGGAGAGGGTGAAGGAAGATGTGGTTTGTGGAAGGAAGCACTAGGCACAAGCTAGAGCAGAAGGGGACTCCAAAGACCTCAAGCCAGATAGAGACGTTCTACAGCTATAATGCCGATATTGAGCTGTCGGCTACTATTTCTCTGGAAGGACAGTTAGCAAAGCAAACTTGTGCCAGGCACATACATTCCCCCCCCCCCCAGTATTTTCCAGCCTATAAAAGTCTTCATTGCAGCAGACACATACCACTTTTAGAAGAATGTGTTTGAAGATGGCAGGAGACTTTCGAGTGCTTACGTGACATCAAAACCCACCCTGCATCCCCACCCAGGACCTTATCAGTCTCCGAAAGGTCAGGTCAGGTTTGGGTCTATTTATAAAAGGAACCATACAATTTACATTCTTCTGGATAGGGAGATGGTTAACAAGTAAAGATGTTTGCTATGAACCCCGAGGACCTGAGTTCAAAGCCCTTGTGCCTATTTCAAAAGTCAGGCCTGGTCTCATGTGTGATAATCCCAGCGGTGTGGGAAGTAGCTCCAGAGATAGCTTGCTGGGGCTTGCTGACTGTCACCTAGCTCTCTGTTCAATGACAGATCCATCCCAAAGGAAAGAAGTAGGGGATGACAGAACAAGTTACCCGGTGTCCTCCTCTGAACTCAGCTCATGCCCATAGGCATGTGCCCTTGCGCGTACACCACACGCACGCGCGCACGCACACACACACATGCACCCATGTGCAAGCACACACATTCTGTACATAGTTGATTGCCAAAAGTCTTTGTGTGTATGTTTTTGTGTGCCTACTTTAAAGCAGAGGAAAGTGCATTGCGATGTCGAATAAGGCTCAGTTAACTAGGATCATCTCAAAAACAGAAACAACAACAACAACATTTAAGAAATACCCATTCTGCTAAATACTTCACGGTTATTGACTCAGTCAAACGATGTTGAGAAGGTAAGGCAGTTGCTGCCCCTCATTTCAAACGAGCAGTTTGAGGAGGCATTGTTGGAAGTCAAGCAGGTGTGAGTGCAAGCACAAATGCTCTCCTCAAGCGACAATGCACGGCCTGCAGAGATGGCTCAGCAGTTAAGAGCACTGACTGCTCTTCCAGAGGTCCTGAGTTCAATTCCCAGCAACCACCTGGTGGCTCACAACCATCTGGAATGGAATCCGATGCCCTCTTCTGGTGTATCTGAAGACAGCGACAGTGTACTCATATAAATAAAATAAGTATATCTTTAAGAGAGAGAGAGAGAATGCACATTGCAAATGGACAACTGCAGAGCAGACAGGCTCATTCTGTCTACAGAGGAGCCTGTATAGAGGATGCCAGCATCTTGCATGGTCAGCTGAGGCTGGACGGCCCACTCACTGGAAATTCATGTAGCCTCAGGATTATAACACTGGATATCCAGGTTGCAAGTGGTCACCTTCATACCTAGAAGTACCATGTAGAAAGTAACGCTTAAAATAGTCTATACTTATTTTGCTCTCTCCAGCCTTTTGGACCCCTGTGATTACAGGCTTTAGTATCTTCTTTTAGTGAGAAATCACAAACATCTGAAACCTCCTTAATTTTGTAAATGTTAAATCTGCTATTCATCCAACTAAGCTGTAAATTAACATATGGGAAAATCCTCTAAACATCTGCTTTAAACAATGGATGGGGTTAAGACTGTCAGATTATAATGCAAAGAGTGGTATAGCTCTCCAATACATTGGGCTTACACGTACTTGCTTTTCCTGAAGCGGCGGATTGACTTGGCCTCGTGCTATCTTATGAAACACTTTCTCGCCCTCGTGGTGTGTCTTTATACTTTTCAATATCAGCAAAATCTTGAAGTGGTCTTAGTCGGGTGTTGTGTGTCATTGTACAGTAACTTCAAGTACATATGGAATCTCTGATCCGTGTAATAAAGTACATTTGTCATGGATCTTGTGATCTGCATACCTTTCAGCTGTTACTCCATAAATCTGTCCCATCGGAGGGCTGCTTTGTACGGCCGTGCTTGAAGCTGCTTTTAATAAACTAATATTTTGTGTCTTTTATATGTAATCAACAGGGAGTATTACAGCCTTGTGCCCCTATGGAAGAAACATTCCACTAAACTTCTTTTCTCTTGACAATAATGAGAAAGAGAAAAAAAATAGCTTGGGAAAGGCACAGATGTTCGTGAACATATGTTGTTTTCTCCTAAAAGTCGGCTCAAGATCCTTTGTATTGTTCCAGAGAGAGAGAGAGAGAGAGAGAGAGAGAGAGAGAGAGAGAGAGAGAGAGAGAGAGGGGAAACTCTTTCAAGAAGAAAGAGTTTGAGAAGTGTGACAGGGAGAAGACAGTTACAAATTTCATCGAGAGTCCGACATGGGGTGCGATTTGTCAAGTTTTTAAGATGCCTCCCTTTGCTCTTTCAAAGAGCCTGTGATAGGGAGCAGAGCTGTGAGCAGCTAGGCAAACACTGGCCATTCTCATACCTTCCTATTCAGATAGCGGCACTGTTTTATTCTTTG